ATCCACCACGATCAAGTTGCCTTCATTCCAAGGACGCAAGTCTGGTTTAACATATGCAAATCAATAAACAGAACCAAAGACAAAAATCACATGATTATCTCAATAGATGCAGAGAAGGCCTTTAACAAAATCCAACAGTGCTTTATGCTAAAAACTCTCAATAAACTAGGTATGGATGGAATGTACCTCAAAAGAATAAAACCTGTTCATGACAAACCCACAGCCAATATCATTCTGAATGGGCAAAAGCTAGAAGCATTCCCTTTGAAAACCAGCACAAGACAAGGATGTCCTCTCTCAGAACTCCTATTCAACATAGTATTGGAAGTTCTGGCTGGGGCAGGCAAGCAAGAGAAAGAAATAAAAGGTATTCAATTAGGAAAAGAGGAAGTCAAATTGTCTCTATTTGCAGATGACATGATTGTATATTTAGAAGACCCCATCATCCCAGCTCAAAATCTCCTTAAGCTGATAAGTAACTTCAGCAGTCTCAGGATATAAAATCAATGTGCAAAAATCACACACAAGAATTCCTATACACCAATAACAGAGAGAGAGCCAAATCAGGAGTGAACACCCATTCACAATTGCTACAAGGAGAATAAAATACCTAGGAATACAACTTATAAGGGATATGAAGGACCTCTTCAAGAAGAACTCTAAACCATTGCTCAAGGAAATGAGAGAGGACACAAACAGATGGAAAAACATTCCATTCTCATGGTTAGGAAGAATCAGTATCATGAAAATGGCCATACTGCCTATAGTAATTTATAGATTCAATGCTATTCCCGTCAAGCTACCATTGACTTTCTTCACAGAATTGGAAAAACTGCTTTAAATTCATATGTAACCAAATCTAAGTGAAGATAATCCTAAGCTAAAAAAAAGCATGGCAAAGATGACAATCCTAAGCAAACAACACCACCACAAAGCTGGAGTCATCATGCTACCTGACTTCAAACTATACCATGAAAACAACATGGTACTGGTACCAAATCAGAGGTATACCAATGGAACAGAACAGAGGCCTCAGAAATGATGCCACACATCTACAACCATCTGATCTTTGACAAACCTGGCAAAAACAAAACAATGAGAATTCCCTATGTAATACATGGTGGTGGGAAAACTGGCTAGCCATATGCAGAAAGCTGAAACTAGATCCCTTCATTACATCATATACAAAAATTAACTCAAGAAGGATTAAAGATTTAAACATAACACCTAACAGCATAAAAACCCTGGAAGAAAACCTAGGCAATACCATTCAGTACATAGGCATGGCAAAGACTTCATGAGCAAAACACCAAAAGCAATGGCGACAAAAGCCAAAATAACAAATGGGTTCTAATTAAAGTAAAGAGCTTCTGCACAGCAAAAGAAACTGTCATCAGAGTGAACAGGCAACCTACAGAATGGGACAAAATGTTTGCAATCTACCTGTTTGATAAAGGGCTAATATCCAAAATCTAAAACTTAAACCAATTTACAGGAAAAGAAAACCCCATCAAAAAGTCGGTGAAGGATATGAGTAGACACTGCTCTAAAGGAGACATTTATACACCCAACAAGCATATGAAAAAAAGCTCATCGTCACTGGTCATTAGAGAAATGCAAATGAGATACCATCTCATGCCAGTTAGAAGTCTTTCATTAAATATCACGAGTCAAAAGATGCTGGAGAGAATGTGGAGAAATAGGAACACGTTTACATTGTTGATAGAAGTGTAAATTAGTTCAACCACTGTGGAAGATAATGTGGTGATTCATCAAGGATCTAGAACTAGAAATACCATTTGACCCAGTTAGTTCAACCACTGTGGAAGACAATGTGGTGATTCCTCAATGATCTAGAACTAGAAATACCATTTGACCTAGCAATCCCATTGCTGGGTATATACCCAAAGGATTATAAATCATTCTGTTATAAAGACACATGCACATGTATGTTTATTGTGACATTGTTCACAATAGTGAAGACTTTGAACCAACCCAAATGCCCATCAATGATAGACCGAATAAAGAAAATGTGGCAAATATACACCATGATATACTATGCAGCCATAAAAATGGATGAGTTCATGTCCTTTGCAGGGACATGGATGAAGCTGAAAACCATCATTCTCAGCAAACTGACACAAGAAGAGAAAACCAGACACTGCATGTTTTTACTCATAAATGAATGTTGAACAGTAAGAACACGTGGACACACAGGGAGAAGAACATCATACACTGGGGCCTGTCAGGGTGTGGGAAACTAGGGGAGGAATAGCAGGGGGTGGGGTGATTGGGGAAGGAAAGCATTAGGAGAAATACATAATGTAGATGACAGGGTGTTGGATACAGGAAACCACCATGGCATGTGTATACCTATGTAACAAACCTGCATGTTCTGCACATGTAACACAGAACTTAAAGTATAATAAATAAATTGGAAATCAAAATAAAAGAGGAAGTAAGCTTCTACAAAAAAAAATGCTTAAGTTGTTTATCACAGTATTTTGGATAACTTTAGTTATAAAGCTATGAACACAGATATCAACTATATTGATGGGTGTTTATATATTTTCCTTTTGGATCTATTTCTTTTTGAAAAGAATTAATCTGCTTATAACTGTTATAGTGATGTGATTTTTGTTAGTATACCTAGGTGTTTATGCTTCCAAACACATGTCTGCTATTCTTTCCTATTTTGTGTTATAAAGTGGCCTATGAAGTGTTCTAGTATGTTTTTATGTTTCTCAAGTAAATCTTGTTTTAAAAATGTAAATGTGTCTTTAAAATAAATTTTAAATTGTTATTTCTGTAATAATATTTCCAGGATTTTGATCTTTAAAAATTATGATTTTTGGGGTTTTAGAGCTCAGAAATTTTGTTCTTTTGGGATTTTCACATTTAGGATTATGGATCTCCACAGGGTTGACAGTGTTTCTTCAAAACATAAAGCAGGTCATGTTATCTACATACTATAAAGAATTCTAAAAGTGTGATTGATATAAAAGCGTAATATTTATTTTTCCTACTAAACTATAAACTTTATGAGACCTGGTTTTGTATTTCCTTGTTCTCATCACAGAAACTCCAATAGTTAGTACAGTGCCTAGCACTTAGTTGGCACTCAAGAAATATTCATTGTGTAACAACATAAATAAATGAGTTGTATGTATTAGATCATGGGAAATAAAACTGAATAAATAAAATGAAACTGAATCACTATCTTCATTATAATAATTAATTAACATAAAATTAATTGATGTTAACATTAAGAACAATTACCAACTCTAAAAATGATAGAGCATCACTACTTGATAGTGCTCAGGCTATATCTGAAATAAGTATCATTTAGGTGTAATGGATTTAAAAATGGTATGTGATGAAGACAAAGTGGGGGAACTTTCAAGAAAGATGGTGAAAATGATTCATGAGTTACAGGGATTGATTCATGTAGGAAGAATAATAATGATTAGATAGCTCAGCATTGCACTTTAAATAGCATTCCAGATACACCATGATATAGCTGGTTTCTACATCATATATCTTCATCTCTACATTTTTAAACTGTGGTATATTCATCATATTAGGTTATTCTTTTCAAAATAAAATTAAAATTTTAAATCATGGTTCAGAGGTGGTTTAAAGGAAAGGTGATAATCATCTACAGTTATTGAAGTCATGCAAACACCAGTTGAGGATAGAAAGTATTTCAAAGAAGGATTAGTTCTAGAGTGAAATTAGGCTTGAAAAATTTTCAATCAGGCATAAAATTCCAATTCCAAACTATTAATTTTCCAAGATGAGCTCATTCTCATAATATCTATTATACATCAATTTAAAGAAATAGACTGAAATGGTATCGAAGGTGGGACCTAACACTCAGAAAATAAATAAGTTAATAAATAAATAATGGAAATATGATACTGTTCATAAACTTTTACTTTTGAAGATAGCTTCCTATAATGTTTAAACTTGTGCTCACTAGGACTATTAACTGCATTTTAAATTATTAAATTTGATTCCATATTATAAACTTCTTACATCTTTAAATTATTAAATTTCATTCCATATGATAAACTTCCTTACATTTAAAACTTGGAGGCATTTAATGACAAAAATAAAAGTTACTTATTTTCTTAGAGCAAAAGGAAAATACAACAAAACTGTATTCAATAGGAGAAATTTGTGACCTAGGATGCTGACACAAATGTACCAATATTTCTTTAACTTTTTATATGTGAATTTTATATTTATCAATATTTGAATATTCTTGACTCCTGTGCTTACATATTCTTTATCTCTTTCAACATAACCAACTCAAAATGTCATCCTTTCCCATGTATAATGGCAAGAATGAAATTACACTACAACACATAGACGAACAAACATTCCATGGGGAGAAATTAATTTTCTTGCATTCTTGGACACTAGACTATAATTCTCAAACTGGTAGTCAACTGTGGTCTTGTGACTAAGCTCACATCAGTAGAATGTGAGAGAAAGGGATATTTGTAACTTTCACTTCACTATACATTCCCTCCCTCCCTCCCTCCCTCCCTCCCTCTTTCTTTCTTCCTTCCTTCCTCCCTCCCTTCCTCCCTCTCCTCTCTCCCTTCCTCCCTCTCCTCCCTCCCTCCCTCCCTCCCTCTCCCTCTTTCATTCTCATTCTCTCTCTCTTTCTCCCTCCCTCTCTCTCTCTCTCTCTCTCTCTCTCTCTCTCTCTCCATCTGTCTGGTACTGTCACCCACCCAGGTAGGTGTGCAGTGGAGCAATCATGGCTCATTGCAGGCTCAACCTGCTGGGTACAAACAGTTCTCCCACCTCGTTTTAAAACTTTTTTGTAGAAATGAGTTCTCACTATGTTTCCCAGACTGTTGTCAAACTTCTGGGCTCAAGCAATCCTCCTACCTTGGCCTCCCATAGTGCTGGGATTACAGATATGAGCCACCTTGCCTATCCTACATTTTAAGAGGAAATCTAGGGCTCTTTTGTTTTTTCCACAGGCAAGAATGACAGTGAACCAAAAGGCTTTGGAAGTCCTCTGTGAGTATGTCAGACCTGCCTTCCTCGACCCAGTTTACCATGGAGCAGAGCTGCCAGCTGACTTTGGATACTTACTTCTGAATGTTCCCTGATTGAGAAATGAATTATTTTTATAGGACAATTTAGCCTTTTACTCTAATTAATACAAATATAAATAGAAACAAAAATATTTGAGATTCTATTCTTTGTGCATCATCAGTTATAATCTAATGAAACTAAAAAGATCATGAGGTTGCTGGGTGGTCTGTGGCTTTGCTGGTATTTCCAAACTCTATACCAGAATGTTTTCCTCTGGTTTTAGAATGAAATTCTTGATGATGAAGTAAAGACGTCACTTGATACTTGAAGTTTCCATTAGAGCTGAGCTCTTGGGGCAGGTAGCCACAGATTGTCTGAGGAAGACATCAGTTGGATTTTATGGTAAGAACTCCCTAATATTATGTCAATATAAATTAATTTTCCCCAAAATAGTACTGGGTTTAAGATCAAAAACAGTAAGTTATAATCTTATGTCTCCCTTTGAGTTATTACATTTGCCCACCTTAGTAACTTCCTTAGAGGTTTACTGTTTCCATTCAACTCTCATTTTACCTTGAAGGAGAGAGATGTTAAGTGTTTTCTGTCTGTATTGAATGCTTCCTTGGTGCCATTTTGTGGTATTTGCAGGCCTCCCTGACATTATCAAATGGATTGACATTTTAAATATTTGCAGTGCTCAGTGGGTACTAATTCAGCAAAGGTGAACCCCAAGCTTCTTCACAGTGGCACAGCAAGTGATGTGTGTCTGTTTAATCACAGCAGTTGAAATGAGATCAAAAGGCACTGTGTTGTAAAACTCCTAAAACTGCTGTCACAGCAGACACACTTGGAGGAGTCCTTGAAGGAAAAAGCTAAGTAGTGAAGAACCTACAGAGGCCACGGGCTTATCTGAACCTATTAACCCAGCTCTGCAGGAAAGTCTCTCTCAGTATATAATGTTTCCATATTTCTAGTAAATTCTTTATAGATATACCTTAATCATTTGTGAGCCTTCCAGCGATTTTTGATTTTCTTTATACTCTAAATTGAAATTTTACTTTTTTCATTTTGTCAGAGTTGAGAATATGAATATCTTAAAAAGATAAAGAACATAAATCATTAATACATTTACTGTCACACATTCTTAGGAGTTGGTCCCAAAGGAATTTTAGCAAATAGGAAATGGTACTGCTAACATTTGGCTGTTGGGACTTCATAGTTCATGTGTAATTTATAGTCTACAATGACAAATATTAAAACATCGGAGAATGGAAACACTAAAATTTTATCCTAAACTATTTTTTTCTACAATGAATGAATTTTCTCTATAATCCCCAGCATTTTTAATAGTTTATCAAATAACCATTTATATATTAGATTGACATGAATATCTTCAGCCCTTGGCTTCCCACAAACAAACAAGTAAAAAAGGGTTTGTGTTAAGGTTTTTACACAAATTCTCCCTGTTTACATCAGACACATGTGTAACCCCAGAAATGCAGCATTGCTTCCTCAAGACTTCCTCAAGAGTTTTACGCTATCAGAATCAAATATATGGAATTAATGACCAAGGCTGAGAAATAGTCAAGGAGCTGTTCCAAAACTGGTCTGTGTTTTGTGGGAAACAACAAAGTGTCTTATTTCACCAAACAGATCTAGAAGTAGGGAAATATTGCCAGCTATTGAAGCTATACTTCAGCCAGATGGGTACAAGCATTGAACTAGAGGCAGCCTGCTCACACATATATCCTGGCTCTCCTGTTGATATTACCTAACCACTCTGTATCTCAGTTTTCTCATCTGTAATATGTACAAAAGAGTGACTATTTACCTCATATGATGTTGATATACTTACATGAATTTATAGTGAGTGAGTACTTTAAACATGACCTAGAAGTTTGTAGGTGTTCTATTACTATTATTTATGTTGTTCTAATATTTGTAAAATTATGAGTCATAGGACTTTGTTGCAGAGGTGTCAAGGTAAAAAAAATTAAGCAATAGAACATATTTTCAAATTACTAAGTCTTATTACTACTATTTCACAAATCCTGAGAAGGGGACACAAGTTTATGCAATATCTCTTAATATAGCTTCCTTTCCCCTGCACTTTTATCATCCATGTGCTGCTAACACTCTAGCTGTTTCATCTCTTCTCTCTTAAAGGTCTTCTCTAATGACATTGGTTAACAAGTCTTTGTGCAAATCTCAACTGTTCAATAAAGTTAATTCCTTACAACTGTGTGTAAATATATAAGTCCCCCATAATCAACCATGCCTATACTCTTCATCCATCTTATCATTTTGTCATTGAAACTTTCACCTTCTAACAAACTACACAATTTACTTATTTATCATGTCTAGTATCAGTCTTGTTCTGCTAGAATAAAAGCTCCATAATGGTAAAGATATTTGTCGTATTCACTGAAGTATCTGAAACACCTAAATAATGCCATGTCCACAGTGCATGCTCAATAGGAATAGATATTTCCTCTATTATAACATGTGCAGCCTAAGGATTTTCTTTCACTTCCAGGAATACAGAGATAATCTCTTACTCTAAATATTTCTCATGCTTCTCCTACCCCTTAGGACCTATTCTCTACTCTTTGAATCTGTTTACAAAAGCCTCAGTGCTGTTTGTTAGAAACCTAGTGTGGAAATGGTGATGAGAACTGGATGGGAAATCAGTTTTCAAGGAGCTTGGAGAAAATAATTAGTGAAAACACCATAGCAACAAATATTTGTTTTCCTCTTATTGTGTGCAATATTTTATAAACTTGTTTTTAAATATTCTCTTATATTTTTCTACCATTTTACCTCCCTCTAGTCTGCTCTGACTACCACCCTGCCTCACACAAAATCTGTCCTGTGTTCTATCCCGGCTTCCAAAGATGAAGACAGTGGTATCACGTAGGATTATATGAGCAAACTAAAGAGAAAAGAGATGGCGGTCAAAAAGTGGAAATCTTGGAATTAAGATTATGAAAAGGTTACCATTATTGATAATCTTAAGGCTAAGTCAGTGAGTGGATGAAATGGAGTAATGGAAGAAACTCTTGGGATATAAGGCCAAGAATTTGAGTTGTTTTGGTAAGTTATGTGTACATAAAAGTCATAAAAATAAAAATAGATGTGTCAAAGAGGCTTGAAAATGAACAAGGGATTAAAATGTTCAAAAATTGGCAAGGAGGAAACCCATGTGCTATAGATGGAAGGGTAGTTGGTTATAGAATCATATGACAGAACATTTGAAACTGGGAATTTTAGGAATAACAGGATTAAAAATTTCTGGAAGAGGCAATGAGAACATTTCTCATCACCAGAAGAGGAGATTTCAGAGGTAGAAGAAAGGACAGCCCCCTCTTGAAAAAGATGGGGCTCAGGGGAAATAACCTCAGGGGAAAGAAAGAGAGCAGGGAGCAAGAAGATAACCTTCAACTTCAGAGAAGAAGAAGTTGAAGATGCAGTGGAAGTGAGATTCTATGGACATGGGAGAAGTGTGCTCCTGTCTCAGAATGGATAATCAATGCTACTTCCATGGACGTCTTTCTACCTGATCCCCAACATAAAGTAGTCAATACTCAATGAGCCACTGCGTATCTTCTCATATAATCATATGCAATACCATTGTCTTCATATTTGGAAGCCAGGATAGAACAGATTTGGGTGAGGTGGAGTGGCAGTGAGAGCAGGGTAGAGGGAGGTAAAGTTGGAGAAAAATAAAAAAGAGAATATTTAAAATCAAATTTCTAAAATACTACATACAATAACAAACATAAGAGGAAAAAAAATTTAAGTAATACTGATAAACTTGAAAATCTGATCCTTCTGTGTCAATAACACCTAAACTAGCTGTATTATTTACTAGTTTGGAATTTATTGATTACTTCATGTAGTTTTTGTATTGTACAGATGATAAGAGATGATAGTGATAAAACATTAGAGCAATATTTTATGTCACAAGCATTCCTATACACCAATAACAGACTTAAAGAGAGCCAAATCAAGAACAAACTGCCATCACAATTGTTACAAAGAGAATAAAATACCTAGGAATACAACTAACAAAGGATTTAATGCACCTCTTCAAAGAGAACTACAAACCACTCCTCAAGGAAATAAGCGAGGACACAAACAGATGGAGAAACATTCCATGCTCATTGTTAGGAAGAATCAATATTGTGAAAATTGCCTTAATGCCCAAAGTAATTTATAGATTCAATGCTATCCCCATCAAGCTACCAATGACCTTCTTCACAGAACTGGAAAAAAACACCTTATACTTCATATGGCACCCGCATAGCCAAGTCAATTCTAAGCAAAAAGAAATAAGTTGGAGGCATTACACTACCTGACTTCAAACTATATAACAAGCCTACAGTAATCAAAACAGCATGGTCCTGGTACCAAAACAGAGATATAGACAAATGAAACAGAACAGAGGCCTTGGAGGCAACACCACACATCTACAACCATCTGATCTTTGACAAATGGGACAAAAGCAATGGGGAAAGGATTCCCTGTTTAATAAATGGTGTTGGGAAACCTGGTTAGCCATGTGCAGAAAACAGTAACTGGACCCCTTCCTGACACTTTACACTAAAATTAACTCCAGATGGGTTAAAGACTTAAACATAAGACCTAACACCATAAAAACCCTAGACGAAAATCTAGGCAAAACCATTCAGGACATAGGGATAGGCAAGGACTTCATGACTAAAACACCAAAAGCAATGGCAGCAAAAGCCGAAATAGACAAATGGGACCTAATCAAACTCCAGAGCTTCTGCACAGCAAAAGAAAGAGTCATTAGAGTGAATCGGCAACCAACAGAATGGGAAAAAATTTTTGCAATCTACCAATCTGACAAAGGGCTAATATCCAGAATCTACAAAGAACTAAAACAGATTTACAAGAAAAAAACCCATTCAAAAGCGGGCGAAGGATATGAAAGACATTTTACAAAAGAAGACATATATCAGGCCAACAAACTTATGAAAAAATGCTCATCATCACTGATTATTAGAGAAATGCAAATCAAAACTACATTGAGATACCATCTCACACCAGTTAAAATGGCGATCATGAAAGAACCTGGAGACAACAGATGCTGGAGAGGATGTGGAGAAATAGGAACAC